GTTGTTGATGATTGTGTTGATGTTGTTGATGATTATGCTGGTGTTGTGCGTTTGTTTATGGGTTTAAGTTATGGAGGTTAAAGGTTTTGTTTAGATGATGATAATGATGATGATGAAGATGTTGATGATGATGAAAGAGCAAAAGTATTGATATACAAAATGTATTTTATCACACAAAACATCATCACCACTCCTTTAAATCTCGAATACATCTACTCCAAGTTGCCCACACCCTCAAATACTTCTACTCCTATAACTTCCATTCCTTAAGACTACTACTCCTAATTAAGTTAAGTAATTACTGCCTGCCACTTTCTAATAGCCATCCCTCCTTAATACTAGCACTCTTGATTACTACCAGTTTGTTGTTGGTATCAGGAGGTCTGGTACTGAAGATATGCGACTTCGGCACGGCCTGTGATGCACACACCCACATGACGAACAACAAGGGAAGTGCCGCCTGGATGGCTCCAGAGGTCTTCGAAGGTCGATGATTTTGATTGGTTGGGATGATGATGATGAAGTTTATGATGATTTTGATTGGTTGGGACGATGATGATGTTTATGATGATTTTGATTGGTTGGGACGATGATGATGTTTATGATGATGATTTTGACTGTGACTATGATGACGTTTATGGTGATGTCTTTGTTGATGCTCATGATAACAATGACGATGATAATGGTGCCATTATATTTTCCATTCATTCATGGATACATGAAGACCACACACTCAGGTATCAGACCACAAAGAAGCACGATAGATGACACACAATCAAAGATACACATTTATGCATAGATACGTACACCACACACACACACACACACACACACACACACACACACACACACACACACACACACACACACAAACACACACACACACACACTGACACTCATGCACACATGTAGGTAGTGATTACAGTGAGAAATGTGACGTTTTTAGTTGGGGTATCATTTTGTGGGAGGTGCTGGCCAGGAAGAAACCATTTGATGAAGTTGGGGGACCTGCGTTCAGAATAATGTGGGCCGTCCATAATGGTATCTTTGATAATTTCATTGGAACTGCTCATGTTTTTATTTTAATTTTTGAATATAACTTTTATATTTCAAGTATTTTGATAAAATTTCTGCTTCGACTGTTATCATTGACATCACATTTTAATTGGCAATGCATGATTGTTTGCTATCATCATCGTCATCATCGTCATCATCTTCATCAAGGGACTCGACCACCATTGCTGAAAAACTGCCCGAAACCTATTGAACTCTTGATGACCAGGTAAGAATGATGATGACGATGATGATGTAGATAATAGTAATGATGTTGATTATGTTGATGATAATGATGAGGATGAGG